CTCATATATCACACATAGTAGGGTCCCAGCTATGGGCAAATAGTTTTTTGTAGTAAAAATACCAGCAATACATTTTTGAAAAAGAAATATTACCAGCAATACATTTTTCTTCCCTCTTTACAAAAATACGTCAATGACACCTGATCTACAAATTGATTTCTTACAAAGAATACATATTCTATTCATTCAAACCCATCCTAAAAATCTTGTCAGTATTAAGTAACCCATTGAGGTTGATATGCCGTAAAACAAAATAAGCCAAGCCGAGACATATCACACTCTTTGCCCAACAACACCAAATGGCTCTAATATAGATAAAAGAAACAAATAGGCAGTCAGACACTCTCTTGAGTTTGAACATTAAATGTGATAAGTTAATCTAATTTAATTTGATTTATGACCACTACTTATCTTCAGAGTTCCCAAGGTATTTTTATCCCACATACAGTTTTGTCTTTCATTCATTATAACCTGAGGAAGCCAAAGAGAGCAGACGCTTCTAGCGAAATGAGTCGCTAATAAATTTTCCATTTTTTTCTCATCTTCACGTAACCATTAATTTAAATTTAACAGCATCAGTAACTGAATAAGTAAGGGAGGTTACTTGGAAGGTAGCAAGGAAGATTACTTGGAATGTAGCAAGGGAGATAACTTGAATCGTAGCAAGGGAGATAACTTCTCTAAGGCATTGTGCTTTAATGAAGGAAACGGTGTAGAAACTGATAAATTGTTTATACATATTTATTATACATATTTATACAGATGTATACAATCAATGTATACAGTCTTCTTTTTTCTTATATTTCCCCTGAAGAAGTTTAACATATGTATCTGCAAAAACTGGTGTTCTCAAAGGATGCTTTTTCTCTAGACAACCCTGTTCTGTATACTCCCGCAGCAATTTTTATTGCTTTAAAAAGCTATTTATAGAATTTTAATAAAGCTCAAACATATGAAACTGTGGATATATGCATTTTTTTCTTACCCAGGAATTGACACTATTTGATTGGATCATTTACAAAAATAAGTTTGTATTTACAAGTTTATAAAAATATATGAACAAACTACAATATTTAATACTTACTATATTATTAAGAAATAACTATGGAAACTTTTTCTTTCTTTCTTTCTTTCTTTCTTTCTTTCTTTCTTTCTCAAATATGTCTGTAAATGAGACCAAGAAAAAGTAACTGAAATTAAAAAATTTGAAAAATGTATTTTCCACGCATTTCTTAAATTTGTGCTTGCCATTTAAATTTGCGACACATACAAAATAATAATAATAACCCCCTTTACACTCTCCTTACAAATTTCGATGAGCTTAGGAAAAATCTGGGAATAAAATTTGCAAGCTTATGGGAAATATCTTTTCACAGATATTAACCATTGAGCATAGAAAAAGAAAAGAAGGGAGCCTAAGTGAAATCCTTTTTGATATAATTTAAGGAAAAAAAATTAAATCGGCATGAGTGTCTGAAACCATGTGAAAAGTTTAATTTCTGTTCATGTGTCCAGCATTCAAATTTTCGTCAATGTCAAATTACTCATTAATTATATTATTGACATTAACCAATCACCTGGTACTTCAAAGAACTTTATTTCAACAATCCTCGAAAGCTAAGTATTTTATTTGCCTCCATTAATCTTTTTATTTTATTTTATTTGCCTCCATTAATCTTGTTGACATGGGTAAACCAACTGATCATTTTCACCCCAAAGTCCCATGCCACTATAAATTCATTAAAATAAGTTATGAGCACTTGGATTTATACTTTTCTTTTTGGGTGACTTGATAACAAAAATGCAAAATACTATTTATTTATTACTAGTTTTAACCTGTGAAAATTTCACAGGTTTCTTATTTGAATTTTCTGATGAATCTTAATTCTTTAGTAAATGATTGAATAAGCTCATGGTGAGTTCTATGGCAATAAAATATCCATAGAAATTCTCCTGTTACATTGTTAAACATTTGAGCTTAACAACTTTAACAAAATATTGCAATAACAAAGATAAATATTTCATTTTCTCACTGAAACCAAGTAGCTTATTTGATGTATTTTGTCTTCTCATGCAATTGAAATGGAATAGTTGATTATTTCTGAGGTATTAGCAGGAGATATTAAAAATTTCTATCTTTCATTTTCTCACTGAAACCAATTAACGTCTTTGATATGCCTTTTGTTTTTCTATGCAATCAAAATATAATAGTCTATTATTTATGAGGTGTTAGCAGAAGACATTAAATACTTACATTTTTCTTTCATTTTTCTTTCATTTTCTCACTGAAACCAAGTCACATCTCTTATAAGTCTTTCCCTGTGATCAAAACAGAATAGTCCGTTATTTATGTGTAATGAGTTGGTCGGTTAACTTGACACCCCCAAAGCGAGTGGAGGTGGGCAGGCACAGAAACTGTGATTGGTAGCTGGCTTGTTGGTGTTTTGCATGGGCGAGTTACCAAGCTCTATGTAAAGGGCTGGAATGAGAAGGAGGGCAGTTTTGCCCCAGAAGTAGAAACTGCCCGTCACTACGACAGTAGGAGAGAGACAAAATTTTTTCTTTTTTTTTTCTTTTGTGACACATTTCAACACAAGCTATTTCGGCAAACCTCAGACGTTGACATGTTTTATCTGAATCCAGCAGCAATGGAAAGGAGGCCTTTCGACCTGTGGTTGATTCCTGAGTTTAAAGGGGCCGCGTCAGATGAACCAATTATAGAATGGCTCGAGTGAGTTCGTGCATGTGTGATCATCCCAATGTGTCAAGCATGCAAGTTGTGTATATGCGGACACAGTCACCAGACAGACACGACCATCTCTTGAGCTGAGGAGCTTTATGATCTTAAGATCAGGTGGTGGGTGTGTAATGAGTTGGTTGGTCAACTTGACACCTCCAAAGCAAGTGGAGGTGGGCATGTGTGGAAACTGTGATTGGTAGCTGGCTTGTAGGTGTTTTGCATTGGCAAGTTACCAAGCTCTATGTAAAGGGCTGAAATGAGAAGAAGGGCAGTTTTGTCTCAGAAGTGGAGACTGTGCCCGTCGCTACGACAGTAGGAGAGAGACAAAATTTTTCCTTTTCTTTTCTGACACATTTCAACACATTATGCGATAATGGCAGAGCATAATGGTTGTGAGAACTAAAGATGGGAGGGATGAGTACAATTATGATACGTTTATTTACAAGAAAAGTGTTCAAAATTTTGTTAACAATTCTTGATAAAAAAAAAAAAGAATGCATGAATCCAGTTTTATGTTTGCAATTTATTAAGATTTTAAAATAAATTTTTGAAACAATAATTACCAAGAGAGTACACAGTACTAGTGGCATTTTGGAAATTTTCTTTTCTTTCAGAGAATAAAACCTGCTGCAATAGTATTTTCACTATTGCCTGAATAAATGGCGAAAAAGAAAAAAAAATGCAAATCCAATTCAATTATACAATGAAAAAATATTTATTTCTTACCAAGTAAACAAGGGTGCTTGTAAAAATTCATCCCTTTTTGCTGAGAATAGGATAACCTCTTCTCTGACTCTTATAATGTAAAATATATATCAGAAAAAAAAATTAAAAAATTACAATGCACAAAAAAAAAAAAAAAAATATTGAGTCCACCTGGTGAGTCAATGATAACAAAAAAGGAGACTTTGTTCTACAGTACCCACTTTCTGTCCTTTGAAAGTTCAAGAGTTCTCTTCTTTTTTCATTTCTTTATTATGGAGACAATCTCCCTTCTTTCTCTTCTTATCTTCCTCCCATCTCAATGGAAAATTTGCCTTTCTTTTATAGCCCCAGAAGGGGAAACTTACTAAAAACATGCAGTAATACACTTTTTGTAACTGCACGTGTACACCTCCTTCTTTTTCTTCATAAATTCCTTTAGCCCCAAACGCCACTTAGGTACTTCTCAGTTCTTTCTTTTCTAGGGCTTCCTTCAAAGGACTTATTTTCAAACTTTCTCTGAAGACTTAACAGGAAACTTGCCTTCAGCAACTTTGTTACCCATGCATCCTTTACTTATGGGCAAAACATTGCCAGACTTTTCAGCAGGGAGAGAGAAACAAATCTCTTATTCCTAAGCAGTATCGGCTCCAACAGCTTGCTAAGGTCCAGTAACAGTTCTCCCTTCCCCATTAAAGGGGTGGTTCACCTTTGAAGTGTCCAATCGCAGTCCATTAAAAAAAAATCAGGAGGTTCTTAGGGTCAGTAACACAGTGAGAGTCTATTGTTCTCAGTTCTCATTAAAAATTTTCAAAGACATCAATGAGAAAAACCAACCTTTTAACACATAATTTCCTTTGGGTACATTTCTTAAACATTTACTCACACCAGGGTAAGCATATCCTATACAGTAATGGGGTGTCAAGAAAAAAAAATCCATCATTTTGGCACACCTTCTTTTTAGAATGTTTGTTAAGCTTTGTCATTAATTCACTCCCAACTGAGCAGACACATGTAATATTGTTTACAATAGAAATTTGTCCTTTTGGCAGATCATTTCCTTTGGGTACAGTTGTTAAACTTTGTTAATAATTCTTACCCAGCAGAGCAGATACATGCTTTGTAGTAATATTGATGACAATGGAAAAGTGTCTTTTTGGCACACCATTTCATTTAGGGATATTTGTTAAACTTTGTTAATTCTTTACTAGCAGACCAGACATATGCTCCGTAATAATATTGTTGACATTGGAAATCTGTCTTTGTAGCACACAATTTCATTTGTTACATTTGTTGTCTTTGTTCATAATTCTTACCCAGCAGAGCAGAAAAATGCTCTGTAGTAATATTGATGACAATGTAAATGTGTCCTCTTGGCATACCATTTCATTTGGATACAGTTGTTACACTTTGTTAATAATTCACTCCCAACAGAGCATGTCTCTGCTCTATAGTAATATTGTTGACAATAGAAAGAAATATCCTTTTCCCCCACCATTCATTGGAAATACATATCAATATCTGCTTTTCTTACATTTTTTTTTTTTTTTTGCTACAGCCGATCTTCAACATACGGATACAGATCTCACTCGCACACAAGTTTTTGATATTGTAAGAAAAGGAGATGAAGCCTCTGAGAAGAAAATGATTAATTTTGAATTACTGGAGAAGTGAGTATTTCATAATTTTAGGGAAACACATATGTATTTACACCAGGAAAATTGTATTCATCACTTGAGAATCAAAAATGTAGGTAAACATTAATTTATGTTTTAATTTTTGTTATAATGATCAAACTTAGTATCCATAGATATTCTGTGTACACTGACTCAAAGTTACCCATGAACTATAGTTATAGCTCTCTTTATGCTAATTATCTTTTAGCTAAAACAATCCTATTACGTCTCTCTGAATCTTTTGGGTTTCACATCCTGCATGGATCTAAGGCTTCTCCTACATTCCAGTCTTTTGAAGAACTTTGATCGTCCATTGATTCCTCTGCCCTGCTTTCTTGTTCATCTACATAGTCATTTGAACTAGCTTTGTACTTCTTCGTAATTTTGGCTAGCTCTTCATTGGTCTGCAGGGGCAACAATATTTTTACCATTCTTGCATATTAATAACACGTATCCTTTTTGCATTACGAAATTTGCCTTTTTCAGCTCATTTTCTTTATTTCTTTTGTATCATATGTTTTCATTAACAGAGTAAGACATGGTTAATGGAGCTCTAATCTGTCTGCCCATTAATGCAGATGGGCTCTCTAATCTGTCAGCATGTGGTATCATTCTGTAACTCAACAATAATCTTGGTAGAAAAGTTTCAATCTTTTCCTGCTGAGAAGAAAATGCTTTCAATCCCATCTTTATTGTTTGGACCATTCGTTTAGTAATCCCATTTGATTGAGGGTGGTAAGAAGGTGTTTTATATGGGACACAGCCAATCTTCTTTAACCACAAGCATTGACTTTTGTCACAGATTTTGGGGGGCATTATCAATTACTCATGTTTTTGGTACCCCATTTCTAGCAAATATTATGCATAGTATTTGTTTTACAGTAATATATCTTTTATCCTGAACTCAGAAAACTTCAGGCCAGGTGGAAAAAGTGTCAACCAGTATGAGACATATACCTACCCTGTTAACTTGTGTGTGATCCATATGAACTCTAGACAATGGTTCTATTTTGTTAGGCCAAGAGGGTAACTTATTTTGGTGAAAATTCTTTATTTTGGCACATTTAGGACATTTCTGGGTTTGTCCTGGCCACCAGACTTCCTGTTTTAAATATTTTTGTGTAGCAGTTATCCCACAATGCACATCATCATGTACACTTTTAATTACTTCTTTTCTACATTGTTCTGGTGGTACCACTAAATCCCCACTAAAAATTAGACCATTTTCTATTGATAGTTTGCATCTGGTTTCTTTGTATGGTCTTTCTGCTTTTGAACAATTACTCCATTTATTGTTCCTTATTCTAGATAAAATTCGACTTGAGACTGGATCTTGTAATGTCTCCATAACTTGTCTATTCATAGGCAGCACATCTGTTTCCACACAATGCAAGAATTCACCCTCAACATTTTTTATGTTTTTTTTTTTGTTTTGTTCCTATTCAAATTGTAGTCAGAACAATGCATCTATGTGTGGTATTATGTTTCCCTTCACGTTTTCTATATCATAATCAAAAACCATTAACTTCATAGCCCATCTTAATATTCTGGATGATGTAACTTTTGGCAATTCCTTCCTAGGATGGAATATAAATTCTAAGGGCTTATGATCAAATCTCAACAAAACTATTTTCCTAATAAAAATTGTCTTGCTCCAGTCATACTCCATACAATAGAAAGTGCTTCTTTTTCAATATTAGAGTAGTTCAATTCATCTGGTTTCAATGTCCTGAAAAGATGCATCAACAGGTGTCTTTCCTGGAACAAAATTGCCAATACAGACTGGCCACTGGCATCCGTGGTTACTGTAATATCCTTTTTAGGGTCAAAAATCTTGTCCACGGGTTTTTTTAGCTAGAGCTTATTTCAATTTAATGAAGGCTGTTTGGTGTGTACTGGTCTATTCAAACTCCTTTTCTTTTGCAACTCAGAAAATTCTTAAATTCTATCAGAATATTTTGACAAGAATTTGCGATAAAAATTGGCTAATCCAAGAAATGATTCCAGTTCTTTTTTATTAGTTGGAGATGATACATTTAATATTTTTGTATTAATATCAGGCCTGGCGAAGTACTGTTTTCTGAAATTTGATAACCCAAGAATGTTAATTCTTTGCAATTAAATATACACTTATCTTTGTTTATCATTATTCCTGCCTTCCTTAACTTATCCATTACAAATTTAGTTTTTTTATTTCAGTTCTTCTTCCATGGCTGCACCTGAACATATATTTTGTCCTGATAAATTATCATATTTTCTACTCTCCTTGCTAACAAATTTTCCATAGCTTTTTTAAAAATTGAGCTAGCTGTCTTAATTCCAAATGCTAAGCAGGACCATTTAAGTAAACCTATGGAGGAATTTATTGCTGTGATCCTTAAATTCATCATTTATTTGAATTTGCTGGTATGCATTTTTTAAATCAATTTTTGTAAAATATTTCATTCTTGCCAGAGAATGTAGTATGTTTTCTATATTTGGAATAGGGTAGGAATTCGAACAAATCTTATGATTTATGCCTGCTTGTAATCACTACAAATAGTAAAATAACCATTAGGTTTTCATAAAACCACAAGAGGTGATATCCATTTGTTGCCTCCAGGTTCTACATATTGAAGAATTCCTTCTTCCACCATCTTTCACATCTTATCAACTACCATTGGCTTTATATGAATGGGAAACCTATGGCTTTCAAAACACAATGGATTGATATTTCTTTTTAACTTAAGGCTTGCTTTATAGTTTTTTAATGTTCTAGTTTCAAGACTTCCCATATTCATAGCATTAAGTAAACATGTGCTATTAATATTTATCAAATCAGTTCTTACTAAACTGTAACTTCTTATACAGTCTATGACCATAATAGTGAAGGTTTCTGATATGTCCCAGAAAGGGATATATTTGTTCAAAGTAGCTAAGTGGTTTTGGCTACTGTAACCAGGTAAGACAATCTAGCAGGTAGTTGTAATGGACTGGTACTCATCGTAGGTATAGGCAATAGGCGTAGGTGATGTACCTCCACATCAGTCTGTATTTATGGCTGACACCAGCCAATCATATTACTGTGAGGGGAAACCCAGGTGTATGCATATTCATTACATCAGTTTCAAATCTATTTTTTGTTTCAAAATGCCTTGAAAGAACCCTAATATTTTTATACATGTTCCCTCAAACTGTCTTAATCTTACTAAGGTTTTCTTTAATTTTGATTTTGATAATTATTCCTAAAAATTCTTCAGAATTAAGGTCACTTCATTTCTAGTATCAACTTGCATTTTTAAATCTACACTTTAATTTAATATTCATGAAGATATTCTTTTTATTTCTCCTTTCTACTGAAGAAACATTTCTTTGACATTTTACATTGTTGTGTATTATTTTGACAGTTTTTACATTGGTATCTCATCATCTACATATGATTTGAAAGTGATTTTTCTTTTCGTACTTATTACATGTCTGTCCCCATGCTGGACATTTCTCTCTCTTTGATTCATGCTTATAGTTGCAATATCTGCATTTTATCATTATTCTTTTTATCGCTCATGTGTCCATAAGCTCAGGTTGGTTTTCATTTGTATTAAATTTTTCAATTATCTCCTCTTGTATGAAATTAATACAAGCTTCTAAAGTCATTTAGTTTGTCTGTAACTGCTCTAATATTTTTACTCTTTGATAAGTATTGTACAGTCTTTCTATCAATCAGAGTTGAATTAATTCTTCCTCTGTTTTTATTCCTTGTTATCTTAGTTCATGAAATTCACAATATCTGCTGGTATCTCTTAACCTTCTTAGATATTTCCTTATAGGCTCCCCAAATTCTTGGTTCAATGCTAAGAATTTGGTTCATTTGGCTATGACCAATCTTTTCTTTGGTTGAATATTTCTCAGTATTATTTCTTTAACTTCCTTAAATGTCAAGTTTTCAATTTTAGTCTGGTAAGTCATTAACAAAATCTGTCTCATGGCTTTGCATCCCACTGTGGCCAAAAATAGATCCGTGATTTCTTTCTGTCCTTCAGGTGTTTGGTCATCTTGTAACTTCTTTATTCTGGCATGTGCCTCAAAACATTTTATCCAAATCTTTACGTTTTCAATTTCTTTTTGTTCAACAGAGCACTGTTAAGCAGCACCATTTTGTTATGATGATCAAAATTAGTAGCCATAGATATTCTATGTACACTGACTCAAAGTTGCCTGTGAGCTATAGTTATATAGCTCTCTTTATGCTAATTACTTGTTACTCAATCCCATTACAATTTTGCTTCAAACTATTCTTTACGAGGATACTCATAACTGTAGTGACCCTGAAAGTGATTTTCTCCCTTTTTACAGGAAAAACTTCCTGATGTCATTAGGAACCTTAGGAGTCAGATGACATCCTGTTGGTGAGAATAGTTCAGTTGCTGCATAGATCTGAATGTAGCTAGCAATAGTTCAGCCAAAGAAAGAATGTGTATCTTAAATAAGAACATAAATGGTCTCCTCATAGTTGTACTGTGTCTCTCTGAATAACAGTACAAGATCTGCTTATTTGTTTGTTTACATACTGCTTACTTTTTATATTTTCAATTTCTCTGGGACAAACTGGAAATATATATATATATATATATATATATATATATTCATGTTTCATTAAATAATATAGACAAGTGTTGTCTATTTTATGTAAATTCTTTTCATAACGTCTGATAAGTTTAATAACATTATTATTATGTTAAAAAGAAAGAAAATCACAATATTGATACATAATTTTAATCCTATCTAAGCTTTCAGCTTACAAACTTTATTATCAAAGATGACAATTACATTACAAATATTAAACATTACCAGGACAAGACAGTGATGATAGTCTGTTTCTGTTTACGTGGATGATAGAAAAAGCAACCACAAACTCATGCATGCATATAAGCGGCTGGGTTTAAAAGCGCAGCTCATGACGTCACACATGACCACATGAGAGTGAATTCGAGAAGTATTAAGTATGGGAAGGCATTGGTATAAACCAATGGCTTCTGTTACCAATTATATGCGTTTAAGAATATTTGTGGAGATTTCATAGATTATTTTGTTCAGGTTAGGTTTCAACTGTTTTATGTATGTAACTTCAAGGATTTTTAGTTTTTGTTTGTTGTTTTCATGTTTAAGTATAGTTGTGTTTTCAACAAGGATTTTCAGATGATATGAAAAGAATTTACATAAAATAAAAAGACAACACTTGTCTATATTATTTAATGAAACATGCATAAATGAAAAATAATTTCTAAATACAATCTTTTTTTTTATATATATATATATATATATATATATATATATATATGCATGTTTCATTAAATAATAAAGACAAGTGTTGCCTATTTTATGTAAATTCTTTTATATCATCTGATAAATTTTTTAATAAATATTATTATTAAACGAAAGAAAATCACAATATTGATACATATTTTTAATCCTATCTAAGCTTTCGGATTACATAAGCCATTATCAAAGATGACTATTACTGTACAATATATTAAGCAATACACGAACAAGAAAGTGATGATAGTCTGTTTACATGGAAGATTTCCAAGCACTGATAAACTCACGCATATAAAACGCTGAAAGCGAAAATCGCACTGCAGCTCATGACCATGCAAGTGTGAATTCAAGAAGTATTAAGTATGGGAAGCATCATTTAATCAGTATTATACAATGATAATGTAATAATATTTTTAATATAAACAGCTATATTTTAAATATATAATTTTTTATATTTTTAATATTACTTAAACACCTATTTATTTCTTTTATTTTCAGAATAAGCCATGAAGGAAACCAGAATAGTAGTGTAAACTACTGAAATGTGACTGTCTTCACTTAAGTTCAAAGATCTGTATGTGAAATCACACTAAATTTGTAAATTGTATAATAATGGTTTGTATAATATATACGCTGATCGTATGAATTACACAGTAAAAAAAAAATGTTAACTTTCCTGCTTGGGTCTACTCCAAAAATAATAAATTCTCATTTCTTAGAAGAGGCTTTTTTCCATTGAATTGTCAAGTTGAACAAATTTGGTCACTTGGAATGATTACAATATTGGATAATTCTTTGTAATAAGAAATTGAATATTTTTTTTCAAGTTTAATTTTTTACCAAAATAATGGTTCATCACGCTACAGTTAGAGGATAAGGTTTTTTTAAGGCACACAATCTTTTGTAAGCTCTCAATGGAGCATCCATAGTAAATAAATTGAAATTGATATATATATATATATATATATATATATATATATATATATATATATATATATATATATATAATTAATTGATTTAAAATATATTTTTTCCGCCACAGTTCTAACCATGTTTCAAAAAAGTGTAGCGGAAAAAAACATATTTTAAATCAATTAATTTATAATATTAATGCTCTGTAAATTTACATCGAGCACTATTTTGTAAAAATAAAAATACCTATAAGAACACTGGATTATATATCTTACTGTTCTTTCTTTTTATTTATATACATATATATATATATTAGTTTCCCACCACTATAGCATAGCTTCCCTATGTCTTTTCCATCACTATAGCATAGCTTCCCTATATCTTTTCTATAAATATTTTCATTTTAATTGATCTGATAAGCTTTCCTCTTTCTCACTTCGACTTTACAATGCTCTCTGGAACCACAATGTAGTTCCAGCAGAATCACATCAGCAAAATATAATTATGTAATCTTTTAATCATGATCCTGAAGAGAACCTTCCCTTAAACGTTATTATATGTTTGTATGTTACACTTATTGTAGTAGATGATAAATCTTAGATATTTGTTAGGATATGTACCAGTGAATTATGTTTGTAATTGCTTTTTCATCCTGTTTATAATTAGGTTGCATTTTGTTATGATAGAATAAGTTAATGGTGTGTTTATTTTTGTTTTTTATCAGGGAGGGTTTGGTGCTTTTTTTTCTTCTAAATTTTGTTAAGGCTAATTTTATTTGTTTGTCAATGATATGATTAAAGAAATTATTGTTGATTAGTGTTTGCTTATAGAATATTTCTGAAGAAGAAATTACTTTAGCTCAGGAAATCATGATTTTTATAGCACTTATTTTGTGTCTGTGAGAACATTCCCTTTTATAGTGAAGTAAACATGAGTTTCTGCTACGGTTTTTTTTAAATGGTTTACTCAAAGGGAATAGGCCAGTTAAAGATATTTGAGAGATAAAAGAACAATAATACTGATAATAAAAATAATATTTACTATATATTTCTAGATCTTTAGATGAATAGAAGGATGATGTGAAAAGAAGTTAAAAATTGTATATATATATATATATACACAAACACACACTACACTTCAAAAGTTTGAGGTGACCCTTGATAATTTTTAAATTGTTCAAAAAAGTAGTTGTTTTGTACTTTAAATAAGAGAAAATTATATGTTTTTAAAAAAAGTGTGACATGATTTTTTATTAGAAATTTTATTATGACAAAAAGAAAAAAGGATTTTATCATTAAATTTTACTCTCGTCAAAATTTTACTCTCGTCAAAATTTCGTCCTTCATCCTTGAGTAACGCAGCACAAATTTTTGGCATTTGTTGCAAAAGTTTCTCAAAGTATAAGTTTAATAATTGATGTCTTTCTTTTTCAATGACTCTAGATGCTCTTTTACATTTTCTTTTCATTCTTCTGTCATGTTCATTCTATGGTAATTCTGGGGGAGGCTTTAAACTTTTGAACAGTAGTGTGTGTGTGTGTGTGTGTATATATATATATATATATAGATTGAAGTAAACACTCTGTTTCATGCTAGGCACAATCGTCAGGCCGCTGAGTGTTGACTTAAATGTTCACTTTTATATTTATATTTACATATGCTCTCTGACATTGAGTATAAAATATAGCACACCTTAAAACTATATTTCTTGATATATATATATATATATATATATATATATATATATATATATATATATATATATATAGTTCCCCACTCCTCCTTGGTCTTTTTGAACAAGAGTAGACGTTTATCCTATGTTTCCTGTTTAGGATTGGGTTTCAGATTCCTTCTAGCTCCCTGCATCTTAGTGGTTATAATGCCTTGCTTGGGGTATATTGATTAACATATATCTGATTGAATAAATTACACACAACCTTTCTGTCCACATTCACAATATAAAAAATGACTAAATGACAACACAACTATCCTACACCATGAAAACAACAAATTCAGATTACAGATACTAGAAGCAATTTATATTAAAAAGTTAAAGTCGGTACTGAACAGAATCAATTATGAATACTGCAGTAATATTCTGAAATGCCTGTAAAAGAACAGTTTTTTCATGCTTTAATGCATGCATGACCATGACATTATAACATGCAAAAAATTCCATAATGGATAATTTTTTTCCCATTCTAATGAACTCTCAAGACATTGTCAACCATTTTGCATTTAAAAGCATAATAAAAGAAATTACGGTAATATATAACAACACAAAACTAAAATAAATACTTGTACTAATGAACAGTATATAATTTAGTACTACTTGCATCCCTGAAGATGATCTTGGAAGAAGATCAAAAATACTTGGGAAATGAAAATAAAAGAAATTTAAACAGCTTTAGCACATTTCTCTCATCCTTTAACATCAATACACGGAAGGTTATTCGTGAGTATGAATGGATTTTGTTAAAAATTAGCAGACATAATGTTTGTAATTTATTCAATAAGACATGCCTAAAAGATAATTTGTTGCCTAAATACACAAATATACATATATATCATCTAGGTTAATGATTTGGAAAATACTTATATAAGAAAATGCTTGGATGCAATATATATAATCAGAGATTGTTTTTGTATTTGAAAATTCTACATAATGATAATCATTATGACTTTTCTTTGCTTATTTTTCTTTATTAATTCATAATAACTGAAACTTTTGATTCCATTTCTAACTCAAAATAAATCAAGTTTGTTTTATTTATGCTTTGTTTGCCATGTAATCTACTGGAAATATATTGAAATGTTTAATCCCATTTAAATTCAGTCATTGAAAACTGTAAACTTCAATTGGCAATAAAATATAATCAAGGAAACAATTGTTTTTGTGGATTACATTAAGGAACTTGAATAAATAATGGAGAGAGAATAATTGTAGTTGTTTCTTTCTCCATGTGTATTCTCATTAAAAGATACCTGCTCAGCACTTCCAGGTAAGATTGTCCCTTCCCAGGTAGGAGAGTGTCCAAGGTGAGCAACTTGTGAAGATTAATGCTTTTATCAGAGTGCTCTTTAAATTTCACATGACACTTTTCTATATGATTCTTCTGTTATAATGCTTGATTCTATATATGATTCTTTTATTATAATGCTTGATTCCATATATGATTCTTTTATTATAATGCTTGATTCTATATATGATTCTTTTATTATAATGCTTGATTCCATATATGATTCTTTTATTATAATGCTTGATTCCATATATGATTCTTCTATTATAATGCTTGATTCCATATATGATTCTTTTATTATAATGCTTGATTCCATATATGATTCTTTTATTATAATGCTTGATTCCATATATGATTCTTTTATTATAATGCTTGATTCCATATATGATTCTTTTATTATAATGCTTGATTCTATATATGATTCTTCTATTATAATGCTTGATTCTATATATGATTTAGCCTCAAATATTTAAGCTTTTTCATATCTAAGTCTCTAACAAAACCTGCAATAATTTGGCCATGTCATCAGGGCCTAGAACCTCTGCAACCACATCTTGAAAGGGTGTATCGATGGCAGGAGACCAGTGAAAACAAAAGTAACACTTGACATATCACATCAGAGATTAGACAGGGAGAACGCTGGTAGAGTACAGGGTCTTGGTGAGGAAGAGGAGACAGTGGAAGGCATTAGTGCATTTTTCCATACTGTCAGTCTCAACAATGAGGAAAGGCAGAAGCAAGTAAAATATCTAGCTATCTATCTCAGTCTCTTCATGTCTAAATCACATCTCTCTCATTCTGTTCATATTTCTCTCTCTCTCTTTCTCTCATTCTGTTCATATTTCTCTCTCTCTCTTTCTCTCATTCTGTTCATATTTCTCTCTCTCTCTTTCTCTCATTCTGTTCATATTTCTCTCTCTTCTCTCTCTCATTCTGTTCATATTTCTCTCTCTTTCTCTCTCTCATTCTGTTCATATTTCTCTCTCTCTCATTCTGTTCGTATTTCTCACTCTCTCTCTCATTCTGTTCATATTTCTCTCTCTCATTCTGTTCGTATTTCTCTCTCCATTCTGCATTTCTCTCTCTCATTCTGTTCGTATTTCTCTCTCTCATTCTGTTCGTATTTCTCTCTCTCATTCTGTTCGTATTTCTCTCTCTCATTCTGTTCATATTTCTCTCTCTCATTCTGTTCGTATTTCTCTCTCTCTCTCTCTCATTCTGTTCGTATTTCTCTCTCTCTCTCTCTCTCATTCTGTTCATATTTCTCTCTCTCATTCTGTTCGTATTTCTCTCTCTCATTTAAATTATTTCTCTCTCTCATTCTGTTTAAATTTCTCTCTCTCTCATTCATTCTGTATATTTCTCTCTCATTCTGTTCGTATTTCTCTCTCTCATTCTGTAAATTATTTCTCTCATTCTCATTCTATTTCTCTCTCTCTCTTCTGTTCATTATTTCTTCTCTCTCTCTCATTTAATTATTTCTCTCTCATTCTGTTCGTATTTCTCTCTCTCATTCTGTTCGTATTTCTCTCTCTCTCTCTCATTCTGTTCGTATTTCTCTCTCTCATTCTGTTCGTATTTCTCTCTCTCATTCTGTTCATATTTCTCTCTCTCATTCTGTTCGTATTTCTCTCTTTCTCTCTCATTCTGTTGATATTTCTCTCATTCTGTTGATATTTCTCTCTCTCATTCTGTTGATATTTCTCTCTCTCATTCTGTTGATATTTCTCTCTCTCATTCTGTTGATATTTCTCTCTCTCATTCTGTTGATATTTCTCTCTCTCATTCTGTTCGTATTTCTCTCTCTCTCTCTCTCTCTCATTCTGTTCGTATTTCTCTCTCTCATTCTGTTCATATTTCTCTCTTTCTCTCTCATTCTGTTCGTATTTCTCTCTCTCATTCTGTTCTTATTTCTCTCTCTCTCTCATTATTTTCTGTTCTCTGATTATTTCTCTCTCTCTCTCTCTCATTCTGTTTATATTTCTCTCATTCTAAATTCATTTCTCTCTCTATTTCTGTTATTTCTCTCTCTCTCATTCTGTTCATATTTCTCTCTCTCTCTCTCTGTCTGTAATTATCTCTCTGTTCGTATTTTTCTTCTCATTATTTCTCTCATTTCTCTCATTCTGTCTGTTCTCTCTCATTTCTGTTTGTTTTTCTCTCTCTTCAAATTATTTCTCTCTCTCATTCTAAATTATTTCTCTCTCTCCATTCATTCTAATTATTTCTCTCTCTCTCTCTCTCATTCTTAAATTATTTTCTCTCTCTCTCTCTCTCATTCTGTTCGTATTTCTCTCTCTCATTTCTGTTCGTATTTCTCTCTCTCTCTCTCCATTTAATTATTTCGTATTTCTCTCTTTTCATTCTTTTCTCTCTCTCTCATTCTGAATTATTTCTCTCTCTCATTCTGTTATATTTCTCTCTCTCTCTCATTCTGTCTATATTTCTCTCTCCCATTCTGTTTATATTTCTCTCTCTCTCTTTCTTCTGTTGTATTATTTTCTCTCTCATTCTTTAAATTATTTCTCTCTCATTCTGTTAAATTATTTCTCTCTCTCTCTCATTCTGTTTCATTTTCTCTCATTCTGATATTTCTCTCTCTCTCTGTTTTATTTATTTCTCTCTCTCTCTCTCATTCTGTTCATATTTCTCTCTCTCTCTTTTTTGTCTTTCTCTCTCTCATTCTGTTTCATTTCTCTCTCTATTTGTTCTCTCTCTCTCATTCTGTTCGTATTTTTCTCTCATTTCTCTCTCTCTCATTCTATTTCGTATTTATTCTCTCTCATTCTGTTCGTATTTCTCTCTCTCATTCTGTTCATATTTCTCTCTTTCTCTCTCATATTGTTCGTATTTCTCTCTCATTCATTCTATATTTCTCTCTCATTCTGTTCGTATTTCTCTCTCTCTCATTTGTTTATATTTCTCTCTCATTCTATTTCGTATTTCTCTCTCTCTCTGTCTCGTATTTGTTTATATTTCTCTTTCTCATTTGTTCGTATTTCTCTCTCATTCTGTTTCGTATTTCTTTTCTCTCTCTTCTCATTCTGTTTATTTTTCTCTCTCTCATTCTATTTCATATTTTTCTCTCATTCTGTTCTATCTCTCTCTCTCATTCTGTTAAATTCTCTCTCTCTCATTTTAAATTCTTTCTCTCATTCTGTTCATTTAAATTATTTTCTCTCTCTGTTTTATTTTATTTTCTTTCATTTAAATTTTTCTCTCTCTCTCATTTCTTTATCTTTCTCTCTCTCTTTCTGTTGTATTTCTCTCATCTCTTTCATTGTCACTTAAATTCTCTCTCTCTCATTCTGTAAATTATTTCTCTCTCTCTCTCTTCATTTTTTTCTCCATTTCATTCTGTTCGTATTTCTCTCTCATTTAATTCTCATTCTCTCTCTATTTCTATCTGAATTATTTCTGTCTGTATTTCTCTCTCTCAAATTATTTCTCTCTCTCATTCTGTTTTGTATTTCTCTCTCTCATTCTCTCATTTAAATTATTTCTCTCTCATTTTGTTCGTATTTCTCTCTTTCTCTCTGTCATTCGTTTTATTTCTCTCTCTCTCTCTCTCATTCTGTTCATATTTCTCTCTCATTCTGTTCATTCTCTCTTTCTCTCTCATTCTTATATTTCTCTCTCTCATCTTGTTCGTATTTCTCTCTCATTCTGTTTAAATTCTCTCTCTCTCATTCTGAATTATTTCTCTCTCTCTCTCTCATTCTGTCTCTTTCTTCTCTTCATTTAAATTATTTCTCTCTCTCTCTCTCATTCTGTTGTATTTCTTCTCTCATTCTGTTCGTATTTCTCTCTCTCTCATTCTCTCTCATTTCTTATTTCTCTCTTTCTCTCTCATTATTTCTCTTCTGTCATTCTGTTTTCATATTTCTCTCTCATTCTGTTCGTATTTCTCTCTCTCATTCTGTTCGTATTTCTCTCTCTCTCATCTCTCTCTCTTTTTCTCTTTAAATTCTCTCTCTCTCTCTTCATTTAAATTTTTCTCTCTCTCTCATTCTGTTCGTTTTTTTCTCTCTCATTCTGTTAATTATTTCTCTCTCTCTCATTGGAATTATTTCTCTCTCTCATTCTGTTCATATTTCTCTCTCTCTCTCTCTCTCATTCTGTTCTTATTTCTCTCTCTCATTCTGTTCGTATTTCTCTCTCTCTGTTCTCTTTTCTCTCTCTCTCTCTGTTCAATTTCTCATTCTCATTCTGTCTGTATTTCTCTCTCTCTCTCTCATTCATTCTGTTCATTTCTCTCTCTCATTCTTTCGTATTTTCCCTCTCTCTCTCATTCTGTTCGTATTTCTGTCTCTCTATTTGTTCGTATTTCTCTTGTCTCATTCTGTTCATATTTTTCTCTTTTCTCTCTCATTCTGTTCGTATTTCTCTCTCTCTTATTCTGTTCATATTTCTCTCATTTTTCCTCTCTCTCTCATTTGTTTATAATTCTCTTCTCGTCTGTTCATTGAATCTCTCTCTCTCTCTCATTTAAATATTTCTCTCTCATTCTGTTCGTATTTCTCTCTCTCATTCTGTTAAATTATTTTCTCTCTCTCTCTCATTCTGAATTATTTCTCTCTCATTCTGTTCGTATTTTCTCTCTTTCTGTTCATATTTTCTTTTCTCTCTCATTCTGTATTTTTCTCTCTCTCTCATTCTGTATTTTGTCTCTCTCTTCTCTCTCTCTCTCATTCTGTTTATCTTCTCTCTCTCTCATTCTGTTCGTATTTTCTCTCTCATTTGTTCTGTATTTCTCTCTCATTCTGTTATTTTCTCTCTCATTCTGTTCAATTATTCTCTCTCATTCTCATTCTATTTATCTTTCATCTCTTTAAATTCTCTCTCTCTTCATTCTGTTTGTATTTCTCTCTCTCATTCTGTTCGTATTTCTCTCTCTCATTCTGAGTTTATTTCTCTCTCTCATTCTGTTCGTATTTCTCTCTCTCATTCTGTGCAATATTTTCTCTCTCTATCATTCTGTTCGTATTTCTCATTCTCATTAAATTCTTATTTCTCTCTCTCATTCTGAATTTTTCTCTCTCTCATTCTGTTCGTATTTCTCTCTCTCTCATTCTGTTCTATTTTCTCTCTTTCATTCTCTATTTCTCTCTCTCTCTCTCATTCTATTTTCTCTCTTTCTCTCTCTCATCTGTTATTTATTTCTCTCATTCTGTTCTATTTTCTCTCTCTCATTCGAATTATTTCTCTCTCTCATTCTGTAGATCAGATTTCTCTCTTTCTCTCATTCTGAATCTGTATTTCTCTCTCTCATTCTGTTCGTATTTTCTCTATCATTATTTCGTATTCTCTCTCATTCTGTCTCTTTCTCTCTCTCATTCTGTTCTCTTATTTCTCTCTCATTCTGTTCGTATTTCTCTCTCTCATTCTGTTTATATTTATCTCTCTCATAGATGTTCCTATTTTCTCTCATTCTGTTCCTATTTCTCTCTCTCTCATCTCTGATTCAATTTTCTCTTTCTCTCTCTCATTCTGTTCGTATTTTCTCTCTCTCTCATTCTGTTCGTATTTCTCTCTCTCATTCTGTTCGTATTTCTCTCTCATTCTGTTTATATTTCTCTCTCTCTCTCATTCTGTTCATATTTCTCTCTCTCATTCTGTTCGTATTTCTCTCTCATTCTGTTCATATTTCTCTCTCTCTCTCTCATTCTGTTCGTATTTCTCTCTCTAATTCTGTTCGTATTTCTCTCTCTCATTCTGTTCATATTTGTCTCTCTCTCTCTCTCATTCTGTTCGTATTTCTCTCTCTCATTCTGTTCATATTTGTCTCTTTCTCTCTCATTCTGTTCGTATTTCTCTCTCTCATTCTGTTCGTATTTCTCTCTCTCTATCTAATCTGTCTTGGCTTGTTCATATGCATTTATCTCTGTTCATATCTATCTATATCAGTTTATACATATCTATCTACTTGTCTGTCTTCCTCTCTCTCTCAGTCACTTCAGTTCTATCTATATATCTAAGTCACATCTATCTTGGCTTGTTCATATGAATTTTTCTCTGTTCATATCTCAGTTTCTTCTTTTCTAAATCACATCTATCTCAGTCTGTTCATATATGCCTCAATGTTTTCACATTTATTTCACTCTGTTCATATCTATTTATCTAGCTATCTCAGTCTGTTCCTATCCATCTTGGCTTCTTCATATGCATTTATCTCTGTTCATATCTATATCTGTCAATTCACATCTACCTACTTGTCTGTCTGTCTATCTCTCTTCATCTCTCTCTCTCTCTCTCTCTCTTCATATCTTTATATCTCAGCCATATCTATCTTGGCTTGTTCATATGCATTTATCTCTGTTCATACCTATCTCAGACTCTTTCTATCCATCTTCTTTATTTACATCATTTAAATGTAGATGATTATCCTCATCTTTGTTGTTGTTATCACAATGTTTCACCTGTTCTGCTTTCTGGCCTTCATTATTGTTAATCTGGATATCCTTCAGGGAATTTGAAACTGAACTCTTTATTTAATCTACAGGGTGTGTTCCACAGGACAATGATCTAGTGGATTAAGGTGTTTGTTCATGCATTTGGTGACATAATAATTGTGAGTTCAATCCCTCATCTTCTTAAGTGTGTAATTTTGGATCTTTTTTGAATATTATTTTTTCTCAACTGAGCAGTATCAAATAATTTCAAGATCTATCTCATTCCAATTATCTCAGTGGAATGAGAAAAATTCATGACAACATAATTCTCAAATCTGCCTGTTTGAAATTTGGTGAAATCAATGATTATTTGATTTGTTCAACAAATAAATACAGCATTTTCAAATATTTTTAATTTATCAAAATCAAATAACTCTAAAAGTAAAACACCTGAATTTCTGAATCATTTTTCCATTCATTTTACCAATTGAACTTAGAAATGTTAAAAAATAAATGTTTCTTCAATTCTTAGCTAAATTAAATTTGATTTTGTTAATATTCTTAGATCCCAATCTATTATTTAAATTATTTCATGATTATTCTATCAATCTATCTAAATTATTTCATGACTATTAATATCTATATATTGTCCATGAATTATTTAAACTTTATTCCAAATCTGTCAAATGAATTAGATTAATGACTATTAAATCTATCTGAAAGTCTGAATTATTTCTTGGTCTTTATCATCAAATCTGTTTGTTTAAATTATTGGTAAACTGTTCACATCTTGTAAAGGAAATTTCTAAATTATTTCATGCATATTCTTATATAAATATTCCCATAAACAAGTTTAGTTAAATTATATATATCTATATCTATCAAAAGTTATAAATCTATCTATCTGTCATCATATTTAATGACTATTGAATCTATCTATTTTGTGAATTATTCTCATTATCATTCCATTCATCTATTCCCCCCATCCTGTAAGCCCTTGCATCTTGGTGCATTATTCCTTACTTCATCTGTCTGATTAAAAAAAAATTAATTCATGATTATTCACATTAAACATTGTATGTCTAAAAATTGATTGACTATTCTACTCTCTATCATCTATCAGCATTTTGCCAAGTGGATTAAGACTATTGTTTTGATCTATCAGTCTGTCAAATTATTTCAATGACATCTGTTTTTATCTTAGTCTTTCTTAAATTATTTCAGGACAAAAAATCTATCTGTCTAAGAAAAAAAATGATTATTTGCTATTCATCCTTTTGTCTCTAAAAGATTTTTTGAGTTTTGTTTTCTATTGACAGATGACATCATAAAATGTCTGTTAACACAAGAATGATTCAATTTAGATAGATTGACAAGAAATTATTTGCTCTGATAGTTTCAGTTTTGAGTTGCTTGAAAGAATATAGCAAGATCCTGAATTATAAGGGGTGCTGAAAATTTCTTAGCCCACTTTCTAACTAGATGAATCATCAGAATTTTTTTTTTCTTTTCAATTTACTTTTTGACTCCCACTTGGTCTAGCTAAAACTTCAATATCCCTAAATTATCAAAATGGTTTGTTTTTTATACTTTAAAAAGATTTACACTATTTACATTATTCGGACTATTGTCCTTATCTTTGTTGCCATATTTATTACAACGTTTCGGCCCCTTTAGTATCTGTCTATATTTCTGAGATGAATTTTTATATACACTATTTACATTATTCGGACTATTGTCCTCATCTTTGTCATATTTATTACAACGTAAAACATGCAATGTCAGCAAAATTCCCAAAATGAGTACTGGTAAAAAATGTCTGAAGACATTAGGTTTATAATACCCAGAAATTCATACACAGATGACCTCAAGTGGATATAGGTGTTAGTTAGATCCCGTGAGGTGAGTGTGAGTTCAATACCTGGTTAAGGGATTGGAGAACTTGAAGAGAGAATTAACAGGAGATAACTGATAACTGACTCCATTAAACATTTCAGTGAATGAAATAGTTGGAACCCTAACAGGTGCTATCAGCCAGGGCCTCTGAGAACAACAGTAATTAAAGGTTCAGTTCGACATTCCAACGACCAAAACATTGTAATAAATATATGAGGACAATAGTCCAAATAATGTAAATAGTGTAATAATATCTCATCTCAGAAAAAAAGACGAATCTGATAAAATAATTTTATCCATTCTCAAATTGAAAAAAAAAATAAACAGAATAGGTTCCTAAGGTTACCTACCTTTATAGAACCCGTTCCTGAAATGTGGTATACCATTATTGCCTATACCTAGTTTAGATATATGTTGAGGAAAGATAAGATCGAATGATTAAAATAATATTTAATATTAAGGTATAGGAATATAAGCATATAAAAAATGTGGGAGGGATTATAGTATGATTTTACTGATGTGTAAAAAGGCTCTTGGGCGAAAGGATAGCAATTGTGGTTCAAGATGGGACAGATATTGTAGCTAGTTGTGTTTGAGGCTCCTAAATACAATATAAAACATCAACAGGATTGTAGCCTGTTCCTCTTTAAACATACCCTTCTTTTGATCATTCTTTCACATACTTTTCATTCTATGTGTTGGGAGTTTTCTGTGTGGACAATTTTATAAGTACATGTAAGGTATGCTCTGGGCTAAGAGCACAATATCACTATAGAGTGTATGTAAATATAAACAGTGTAGACACAGATCAACACAAATTATTTGATATTGATCTCTGTGTCATGCTGCTTATATATATATATATATATATATATATATATATATATTCCCAAGAGGAGAGAATCCAGGTAGAACTCAATGTCCAGGACAGGTAAGAATATAATATAAAAGATTCAAACACTAATATTCCAGGGTTATAATTTATTACATTGGAAACATAATGATGATCCAAATCATCAATTTAGATCATGATTACGATTCTAATGTAATAAATTAAAATATATTAATTATATATATATATATATATATATATATATATATACATAAAAAGTTAATGGTCAGGTTGAATCAGACCAGGAAACAGTAGTATTAAAAGTGCTCAATATATGTGTGAAAAATAAAATAAAGTAAAATAACATATAGGCTTTTAACTTTAAAAATCAATTGGTCATTTGAATTCACTACTTTGGTTTCAACCTTACAGTATTTTCTGGTGATTTTATATCAAATGACTCTTAACAGCTTATTTATTTTTTAAAAAGACCAAAAATTACATTATTATTTTCAAAAAATAAACAAATGCATAACATTGGGTGTAATAGAATGGAAGGAGGAGGAGGAGGATGTAAAGAAATAGAAGTCTCCTTCCTTTTCACATCCTCAACATTCAACTGGACTCCTGATTTTTAAAGTGTATATATATATATATATATATATATATATATATATATATATATATATACACACATATATATATATATATATATAACTAAAAAGTCATTTCACCCCAAGCAAGGCAGTAAAGATGTTAAGATGCAAGGGTTACTTGTGTGAGAAGAATAAGAAAATAGAAACATTATTAAGGAGCAGAACAATAAAGAAGAGGATCAATAAGACAGTAAATAACAATTGACATTGCATTTAAATTTTCAAGATTAAAGTTGACTGGAAAGTATGGAGCTGAAAGAGTTTCCACAAGTGAGAAGTATGAGAAAAGAAACTATTAGCATAGAACTTATAGTTTTATATATATATATATATATATATATATGAAACTAAATATTTATTATACTGGTGAAAAAGTCAGTTCAGTTCATGGATGAGGTGATACAGTTCAATGCCTAATAAATGAAACACAGGTACACGTCCTTTTGTCTTTGTATTGATTTTTTCAAATTATATGGAAAAATAAAACTCGCCTTAGGTCATTTTACCTCAGCTGTTAAAAGTATTAGAAATGTCAAAACACTAAAATAAAAGTACATATAGAATCATATTTAAATAAATTTAAAATATTATATATACTATATGTGTGTGTGTTTATATATATATATATATATATATATATATATATATATATATATATATATATATATATATATGATCATAAATCATCAAAACAAAAATAGCATAATAAAATATGTTCAGTAGATGTTCTTATTTCAAATTCTTGTTGTTTCTGCCCCAATACCAATTTTAATTCAGACTTGTTCACATCTGTGCTCTGTCATTGATCATCTTTCAATTACATTTGATTTGTGATTTAGAATCATTTTGCCCATGTCTTCAAAGAAAGTCCCAGTGCAAGTGCTAATTCAAAGCTTTAGGCTATATCACTGGAAGATAAAGTGGAAATTAATTATTTTATTCAGAATACTGTATGTACATATCACAAATACTGTAATAGGCAATAGGGAGTGCTTGAGGTTTATAGTGTGGTTATTTAGACTTAAGTTGAAAAATAACTTAAGTCATGATCACCAGAACCAATTAATGATGTAGGGTGAGGTATACCTGTATTCCAAACTCCTAAACCCCTATAGAAGACCATGTTATGCATGAATATACTTGCCCACTCGGTGAATGTTCCTCTGTAAATAAAAAGCACAAAATGTCTTACATAGGATATACCACAACCACACTCTCACAGAGAATCACCTGCCACCTATTGGGCCAGAGTACTTTCAAACAATACATAAGCATCATGGTCACATAAGACAATTACTCAAAAAAAATACCAAAATAGTAGTAAGATCATATAGTAAACCCAGAATCCTCGAAGCAATACTTATACAGCAAAAACAACCATCTATAAATAAAAACAATTACATTTAAGAGTCACATCCTCAAATATATATACAGAAATCTTTTGATTAGTGTGGCTAATGTGTACATCAATAACTATAAAAAATCAATTTTCAATTACAATGATTAAACAGAGAAAATTTTACTGCACTAATTTTGTATTATGTATGCACAAATCAAAATTTAGTATATAAAAATTTAGCACACTAATTGAAATGAAAAATAAACACACTCATATATCACACATAGTAGGGTCCCAGCTATGGGCAAATAGTTTTGTATAAAATACCAGCAATACATTTTTGAAAAGAAATATTACCAGCAATACATTTTTCTTCCCTCTTTACAAAAATACGTCAATGACACCTGATCTACAAATTGATTTCTTACAAAGAATACATATTCTATTCATTCAAACCCATCCTAAAAATCTTGTCAGTATTAAGTAACCCATTGAGGTTGATATGCCGTAAAACAAAATAAGCCAAGCGAGACATATCACACTCTTTGCCCAACAACACCAAATGGCTCTAATATAGATAAAAGAAACAAATAGCAGTCAGACACTCTCTTGAGTTTGAACATTAAATGTGATAAGTTAATCTAATTTAATTTGATTTATGACCACTACTTATCTTCAGAGTTCCCAAGGTATTTTTATCCACATACAGTTTTGTCTTTCATTCATTATAACCTGAGGAAGCCAAAGAGAGCAGACGCTTCTAGCGAAATGAGTCGCTAATAATTTTCCATTTTTTCTCATCTTCACGTAACCATTAATTTAAATTTAACAGCATCAGTAACTGAATAAGTAGGAGGTTACTTGGAAGGTATAGGAAGATTACTTGGAATGTAGCAAGGAGATAACTTGAATCGTAGCAAGGGAGATAACTCTCTAAGGCATTGTGCTTTAATGAAGGAAACAGTGTAGAAACTGATAAATTGTTTATACATATTTATTATACATATTTATACAGTATACAATCAATGTATACAGTCTTCTTTTTCTTATATTTCCCTGAAAAGTTTAACATATGTATCTGCAAAACTGGTGTTCTCAAAGATGCTTTTCTCTAGACAACCCTGTTCTGTATACTCCCGCAGCAATTTTTATTGCTTTAAAAAGCTATTTATAGAATTTTAATAAAGCTCAAACATATGAAACTGTGGATATATGCATTTTTTCTTACCCAGGAATTGACACTATTTGATTGGATCATTTACAAAATAAGTTTGTATTTAAAGTTTATAAAATATTGACAAACTACAATATTT